GTATAGCCCTCTTCTTTCTCTACCAGTGCCAATCGTCATCTTCGTTCAATTGTCCTGAAATACGCAATTAGAAGGTGAAAAGATAACAGAGCAATCAAGATGCTTTGTAATTTTACTAATAAATAAGAGATTAGTGGAAAATGTAGGTGCAAGTAAAACAGATGAAAGAGAGAAAATAGGTGAAAATAGGACACTTCCGGCCCCAGTAATTTTGACAGGAGTCCTATGAGCCACTTGAACAGACTAAACGGGCAAAGTTGTCAATAAATCAAATGTGGTGGGATTACAGGTAAAATGATCGGTAGCTCCAAAATCTATAACCCAAAAATCAGATGTGGTAGAAGTAGATTGCAACCCAAAAATACCTTCCTCAAGAGATGAAAAAGTGACATGGGAAACAGTAGATGTAAATGCAGGTGCATGAGTTGGCGCAGTAGATGAATGCGGTGCCTGAGAGTATCTTCAACCCTTCCTCCCAGCCCTTTTTGCTAAATTCCAGTCTGGATAGCCATTTTTCTTAAAACACTTGTCAGTAGTATGCCCATTAACGTGACAGAATGAGCAAGTTTCAGTGGACGGAATAAGGGCTCGAGATCGAGGATTCAACCCTTTTGCCACTAATGCGGACGTCTCGGATTGACTTTCAGCCCCATAGTGAGTTGTCTCTGTTCCTTATGACGAACAATCGAGAACACCTTTTTGGAAGGGGTGTGGTAGCTAAAATACGACTACGCACTTGATCCAAACCATGATCAAGTCCGCCAGAAACATATAAATCCTGTCTTCAGTACACCTTTCTTTTAATACATCAACATCGTCGGCACACTTCATAGGGTTAGGTCTGCGATAGTCAAGCTCCAAGAAGATGGAATTCATTTCAGTGTAGTACGTGACCAAAGGCCGCCCCTCTTGCCGCAACTGAAAGGATTTCTTCATTAGTTCATAAACTCGTGACGAATTAGAGACATCAAGATAACTTCTCTTGACCGCGTCCCACACATCTTTGGCTGTATCAAACTAAACAAAATGGATTATAAGAGCATCTGTCATGGAATTGATAAGCCAAGACTTAACGATAGCATCATTTGCCATCCATTCACCATAGCTACTATCATTTGCTTTCGGTACAGTTAGTTCACCAAAAATGTGGGCTCTTTTCTTCCGGCCAGTAACGTACATCTTCAGTAATTTTGACCACACACGATAGTTAGTGCCATCTAACTTAATGTGAATCGAATGTGATGTCTCATGAATTAACGATGTAACCTAAACAATAGCCGGTAATAAAGCTCTCTAGATTGCTGACAAAGGATTAGAGTACTAGTGAAACACCAAATGCAAACAACTCAAATTCAACCTTCAACAAATTCAATCCTCAACCAATGAACTCAATACACAGCCTCGAGAAACCCAACCACTACCAAACACTAGTCAGTAGTCACTTAAATCACGTCAAACCAGTGATTTATATAGCAAGAGCCGAGAAGAAAAAAAATCGTGAAGATGCAGGTGCAGCCAACTTCAGAACTCAAGTAACTAACCGGTAAGCAGACGCGCCGGAACAGGCGAAGTGCAAGCGCCGGAATCGCGAAGTCAGTCGCGAAGATGCAGGTGCCGGAAGACTCGCGAAGTCAGTCGCGAACAAGAACAGGCGAAGCTAGGGTAACCAAAAAAAATCGGAACGAACCGTCGCCTAGGGTTCGCACAGACATAGGAGCGCCATCGCCGTCGTTGGGAAGGAGTCGCGACTCGCCTAGGTTGCCTGTCGCTCTGATACCATGTCGATTTTGGGAGTTTAATTTCTCTGATCATTTTATTTCTGTCGTACAAAGGTATATACAAGAATAGAAATAGATATTTAAACCCTTAGTCCCTAACAATTTAGAAAGACTACAAGTTAATAACTAAAAATAATAATGCGTATTTCAACTAAGGAAGATGTAGATTTAGCTTCAGTCGCGAGAAATTAAGGCCGGTGGGTGAAACCTTCGTAGGTGAGTGAAATATACACTGTCGATAAGTTCGTCAGAGATGGAGGTGGACGATTGTGAAGGCTTCAAGTCTCGGTTGTGGTGGAGGGAACCCGAAATTGGATTTTGTTCTCGCGACTTTGATTTGGGCAATTGTTCATGAACGCCGGTTGGTGAAACCATTTTTTCAATCAGTGAAACATGCGTCGCCGAGAGGTTGGTTGGAAATGGAGGAGGCAATTTTGAAGGCCTTAGGTCTCGGTTGTGGCGAGGGATTTTCAATTGTATTTTGTTTTCGCGACTTTAATTTAGGGGTTTTGTTCTTTTTTTTTTTTAAACTGCCACGTCAGCACAATTCAAAACCCAGTGAGTCTCATATGAACCCATTCCTGTACGTGTAGAATTATAAATGAAACGGATATAGATCGGATCTGCCTATATCCGATCCAATAAGAAAATTATTTGATCCGATAATCCAACGGATATTTGATTATTAAATCCATATCTAGCTATATCAACGAGTCAAGCCTGAGCCGGAAAAAAAAAGCTTTGGTTCGGCTCAAGCTTTTTTGGACCGAACTTTTTTGGGCTCGAGTCGAGCCGAGCAAAGCCCGGCCAAAAAAATGAGGTTTGGCTCGAGCTTTCGCCCGAGCCATAGCGAGCAGAGCCATCTCGGATTTTTTGGATTTTTTTTAAATAAAAAGGCTGCAGCAGGCAGCTGTTTTAAAAAAATTAATTTTAATTTTTTTAATTAATGGGCAGGCTCGCCGAGGCCACGAGCTAGCCCGAGCCTCGGCTCGATGTAACCGGGCCCGACTGGGGCTTTTTCCAGGTCGAGCCCGAGTCGACGAGTTTTTTTGTCATCCCTATCCAAATTCGATTTGCTATGTTATCGGATATCTAATCCGATAATCCAACGAATATTTGATTATTAAATCCATATCCGATTTGCTATGTTATCTGATATCCGATCCGATAATCTGATCCGAAATTAATAAAAATTAGGGGAAAAATCAATGTTCTTTTAAAAATTTTGAATTNTAAAATTGAATTTCAATTCTAAATATAAATATTTTATTTCATTATTTTCATTAACAAATCAAATTATTTGTTACATATTAATTATTAGTTTTTGAAATTGTAAAATAAATTACAATAATAAATTTAATTAAGAAAAATATAGATATTTATTTACTTTAAATTAGTAAACTAAAATTTTAAAAAAAATTATTGTTTTTATAATATTTTACATTTATGTGTATAGTTATTTATTCAATTTGACAATCGGTTCGATACCGATTCGACTTTTTGACCATTGACCATCTTCCTTTTCAAGGTCGATGTTCGGGTCGATTTTTAAAACATTGGTTAAAATCAACTTTTTGTTTTTGTTTTTTTTCGAATTTTTCAATTCTTAAACAAGTTTAGGGTCCGTTTGATTCTCATTATTGTAGAATGAGAATAAAAAATATAGTCGTTATTGAGCCCCACACAAGAGATAAATATTCAAAATTGATGGCTTGATGTGATGGATAACGATCATATTTTTCATTTTTATGGATGAAAAATGAAAAAGAAACCGAGGCTTAATAATTATAAATTTTTTAACTTTTTTATGTTTTGAATTTGATTACTTTTTTATTCTTCATTTATTTATTTTAATGACAAATAATATGTCATAAAAATATTTTACCGACTCAATTATTTATAACAAATCAAATAGGATTCACCTATATTCATATTTGATCTATTTAGTTAACAAATTATCGGATTCGAATTTTAATCGGGTTATCGAACTGAGACTCTAAATTCATCTTCTATTAATTTCGTCGGATTCGAATCAAAATTCAATTGACAACCCTGTGTACGTGTAGACTTACTCTTTGTTTTAATGGTCAAAGACCATTATAAAAATCCTACGGGCTCAACCAGCCAATTCCTTCTATTCCCTCTGTCACACGGACACCATTTGTCCATTCCAAAAATCTGATTCCTGGCCGGAAATTGAAGGCCAAGAAAACGTCAATGCAACTCCTCCAATTATCAACAATTTTCATGCGTTGAATGAAGCTAAACACGCGAATAAAAATTTTGATCAGAGCCCATCGTTCTACAAATCTTCCAACTTCTACCTTGCCTGCATCGCCCTCTCTGTAAACTTCCTCTGATTATAGCAATCGATATATGAATATTTACAGCAATTTTAAGTATGCAAGCCCAATTTTAAATGCTCCCTTCTGTGTATCATCAACTGCTATTAAGCTGGTTTTGATTATCTGATTTCAATAAATCTTGACTGGTATTTGTTGATCTCTTCTACCACAACTTATATAAACACAATTGACAATAAATACTAGGATTGTATTTTGAGTTTGTAGTTAGCATTTGAACTGTGATAAGAGCTTAATCTGAAAGTTGGGTTGTTTAGTTACTAGTAATTTTTCTATTTGCGTTGAACTTATATGTGTGTTTCTTGAAGTTGGAAGAAGAACTTTGATAGGTCGTGTTCTTCTGATTTGGGCTTTGTCTTAATCGTATGTTTTCCATGTCTTGGTATATGTGGTGGAAACTCGTTCGAAAATTCGGAAAATTTGGTGGACCTTTGAAGTGAAAGGGAAATTGAAGTTATCTGTCTTGAAGCATCATCTTGCGCTTTATATATAAGAATATTTTAGAACTTTTTTGAGTTACAACGGAATTTGAAGTGCCTATTTCATTCATTTTCCCTGTTCTTTTGGAGCTTGGTTTTCTGAAGAATTTCTTGATTTCGATTTCACAGGTGATTGTGGAGATTTATGCTGCTTGATCTAAAGTACTATTGAACCTCAAATGAGCATATCGAGTTATACTTATACTAGGATAAATTACGCTCAAACTACGATTCTTTGACTCGACCATCTGGGTAGTGTATGAGTTGCGTGGAGCTTCATAGTTGAGGATGACTACATTATATTTTGGTCTTGAAAGATGCAATATTTTTGCTGCATTTCACTAAAAATGGCTTTAATTTTTTTAAGTCTACTATTGATGATGCCATCGCCAAGAATATCTGCCTCTGGGATGTTGCAACATAGGAAAGCTTGTGGAACATACCTTATTAGCTACTTGGGTAATCCTGGTCAGGAATTGTTCTATATAGATGGAAAGTTGGTAGACAAATATTTCTTCTGCGAGGCTCTCAGAATATATCAAGCGAACCATTGCTTCGTCACAAGAAATATCAGAAATCAGTATTGTGGATTGGAGATATCATTAGGTGTGTTCCATCAAGCAATATTTTTATGAACCTTTTTCTTTCTGTTCAAGACATCTCTTTATGAGATGCCCACCGGAAAATATTTCACTATTTTGTGAAAATTTAGATTGCATATATAAGAATTTTTCCCAGATGGTTTACTAATGAAGTAGTGAATTTTCTACTATAATGCAGAAGAGTTGCCTACGGAGGTGGGAAGAAAACTTTTACAAAGTGTGGTTCGAGAAGGATCTAAAAAGCACGATCTTGATAAAGCATCTCCATTGAAAAGGGATAAATATGCTAAGAACCCAATATTAAGCCCCAAAATTTTGGCCATGGCAGTGCCAGCATTCCTTCTTTATTGTTGCGCCTTGCTTTGCCCATGCTTTCAAGCAAGAAAAAGGGAACTTGAGCATACTGTTATGTCCAAGGAGCCAAATTCAAGTGAGTAACATCATTTCCATTCATGAGACATGCTTCTATTATCCAGAATGTTATCACCCTGAGATAGATGCCTTCAACGAAATCTAGAGTAAAGGCAGTAGTGGATCAGCTGGAGTAGACCCATGTACCTTCTGAGATGAAGTCAATTTTCATATATTTATGACATGGATAAATTCCAATCATGCAAGTCTTTGGGCGTAGCTATGCATAATCAATACAAAAGAATTAGTAATTTCAGCTCACACATTTAGTGCAGTTAGTTTTATGTGCATATTTTTATCCAGTATTGCACTATTCTTGCAGTGGACTTGGTTTCGTCTTTGGAAATGACCTCTGTTTCTGAGAAGATTCCTGCCAGTCCACTACGAGTGCCGCCTAGTCCTTCAAAATTTTCCATGTCTCCAAAACTTAACAGGGGTGGATCTGTTCATCTTTCTATGAGCCAAGTTGCCAGAGCAACACATGATTTCTCGCGATCACAGATAATAGGTGAAGGTGGTTTTGGAGCTGTCTACAAGGCCGAGCTACCAGATGGCCAGATCGTTGCCATTAAACGGGCAAAAAAGGTGTATTTCTGATTCTTTTACTAGACTTTGAGTTTGCAGCTTCTGCGAGCTTTGGTAAGCTAATAATTTTTCTCAACGTTGTTTTTCCAAAGTCATGATGGTGACAAGAGTGATGCCAAAAACTTAAAATGCCCTTAATCTTTTAGGTTTTATATGTACTATTTGTAGATATTTTGACCAGAATTCCAGGCTAAAAGAGATGTATGTTGTAGCCCACCCCTTGCATAGAGAAGGAAGAATGGGAACTGACTCTTAGGGTTCGAATTTATTCAAGCATTTAGGCTAAAGTAATCATGTCGCAAGGTGTAACGAAGTTTAATGCTGGTGGTCTATCTCTTGCAGCTCTCCTCTTTTACCTGAGCTTGAGACTAGCTAAAAATTATAAATGTAAAATAATTAGAAGTCACCGCCCAAGGTAAAGTAAGTGAAGGTGTGTCAAGACTAAAGAGAAAATGAAATTATTAAAGTGGAATTACAAAGAAAATCAAAGTGGAACTGGGGTAGACAAGTTTCTTCGAAAGAGATATGAATTAGGATAGTTTCTTAGTTGACCTTTTTCTGACATTTAATTCTGTAAATGATGTTTAATTTTTGAAAAAAAAAAAAAAAAAAAGAAGGAACACTTTGAAGGGCTGCGGACTGAATTTAAGAGTGAAGTCGAACTTCTGGCTAAAATTGATCATCGGAATCTAGTCAAGCTGCTTGGTTATGTTGACCATGGAGATGAACGCCTGATTATTACGGAGTACGTACCAAATGGTACACTCAGAGAACATCTAGATGGTAAACCTCTTAAACTCTTGAGACATCACAAATATTCAAAGGCAAGTATAATTGCCATTTTTGCTTATTTCCTTTGTAGGACGAAAGGGAATGATATTGGATTTCTATCAGCGACTTGAAATATCCATTGATGTTGCTCATGGCCTAACCTATCTCCATCTATATGCAGGTGATAGCCCTTTCTGCAGAGTAGATTTGCTTAAGTATTTTTTTTTTTCAGACAAAAAAAAAAAAAAAAAACCAAAAAAAAATTAAAAAAAAAATAAAAAAAAATTAAAAAAAAAAAAAAGTGTCCCAAATAAATTATTAAAAAATTAGAAATTGAAAAGTGCAAACGAGTTCCAAATAAATTATTAAAAAAAATTAGAATTTAATTTTTTTTCTTTATTTATTTTATTTTAAAAAAAAAAAAAAAACCCTACTATCATGAAACTGAAACTACCGATGCTTTATTGCATCCATACCATGTTTTTACCAAGAAAACTACAATTTCGACTGTGATCCTGACAGAGCTGCTTTAGAAATCACAAATGTACTCCCTGATTTTTGATGATGTGCATTACTAGATTATCTAGACACGAGCATGTTTGGATAAGTTATTTTTTTCTTAACTTTAAATAGAATAAGTTGTTCTTTCGAAGTAGCTATTACATTATTGTCAAATTAACTAACTTATTTTGAACTTTAATAAATAAAATATTATTTATTTTAAAACTTAATTGTTTACTTATATGTAACTTTTTAAGCTTAGCCAAAAATGCTACAAATTCACCTTGTAATTAGTGATTCAAACTATGGTCTCGTTAAAATCTTCGGGTCAACGGGACCTTCAAGCATCCAAAATACGCCGGGGTTGTAAATGACATAGCCTTCTGTTAGAAATGACGTCTCCTTCAGAAAAACAAAGTTATTTGAGTTCTTTTCCCCAAAGAACTCCTGCTCCGACGGCAATCTTTATGCAACATCGTCTATTTTAATGTGCTTGTCCTTATTTTTGATTTTCTGGTGGTTCATTGCTATTCTCCTTGGATCCTATGTAGAGAAGCAAATTATCCACAGAGATGTTAAGTCCTCCAATGTTCTTTTGACTGAGAGCATGAGAGCAAAAGTTGCAGATTTTGGGTTTGCGAGGCTAGGAGAGATGGCCTCTGAGAAAACATATGTTTCAACCCAAGTAAAGGGCACAGTTGGTTACCTTGATCCGGAGTATATGAGGACACATCAACTCACATCCAAGAGCGATGTATTCTCATTTGGGGTATTGTTAATAGAAATTTTAACTGGTCGTCGACCTGTGGATTTGAAGAGACCACTCGATGACAGGGTGACAATTAAATGGGTAAGCTTTTATACTTGACAAGGTTATTCGCATTAGTCATTATGTAATACCTGTGTTACGAGAAGAACCTGAACCAATAAGACTTCATAATGTTTCTATTTTGATACTTAACTTCATTAAATAGGATGCTAGTTACTTATATGTTAACTATTTCTTACTATCATTTGAGAAAGCAGAAAAAGAGGGACAACTGAAGAGAAATAATCAAAGAGCATGTATTTGCAAAAAGAGTGACAATAAATGCAATTTTAATCTGTAGTTAATGAACTGACGGCTTGCTTGCTTAGGGATTCATTGTTGCAAAGTCATGGTGTATGATATATTGTTGTTTATCTTTTTAAGCTGAATTTCTGCAACTTTAATCTTTTCACGAGGTTAATTTTTCCGAAAAGTTCCTCCATACCCACCCACCTGGTCGTTTTCACATTTTCATTTAGACCTTTTGGATTTCCCCCACTTTTCTTTATACTAATTAAACCACAACCAAACTAGTCTGCCCAAAGATAAAACGTACCCGTATGTGTCCTTGGTTCCCCGAACTAAGAGTCTTTGAAACTAGCTTACATGGAACGAATGGCTGATTTAAGATTTAATTTTTGGATAAATAAAAGATTTGTGGAACTCATCATACACAATGTTTATGTAGGCTTTCAGGATGTATAATGAAGGCAAATTTTTGGAGATGTTAGACCCTTTGATGAAGGAAGCAGTAGATGAAGAAATACTGTCGAAAATGTTTGCTTTGGCCATCCAATGTGTGGCACCTACACGAACTGATCGCCCTGACATGAAATCAGTCGGGGAGCAGCTTTGGGGAATTAGAATGGACTACTTGAGAAGCGGAAGGAGAGATTGACAGGTGAGTGTTGAAAACAAAGTTTATTTGGTGTTGCTATGGTTTTCCTTTCAATCATTATTCTTGATGAACAAAGGACAAATGTGTTAGAATACATCATTCCATGTATATATATCAGTCTGTGCTAACAATTTAAATCGAAAAATTAAGTTGTTTGTAATTGTATTCATGTTGTCGTCTTTTTTCACTTCCCTTTCTTAGATCATTTGGGATGCTTATTCTAATTGGGATATTGCTGTGTCTAGGTGTGTACATAATGTGAGAGGGGTGGGCCTGTGCTACTGTGGGGCCAGTAGAGCTTTGTATATCATAAGAATTTCTCAAGGGAGGAGATTATCAATAATTCGACAGTAATCTATTGTTTAGCTTGCTTGGCATTAGTAACACTATTTGCTTAAACCGCTGCATTTTCCATCTGCTAAATTGGAACCTTCAATGTGAGTGTTCTTTGTGCATTCATCTTACTTATTCACAACTGTTGTGAAAAGTGGAGATGATACCGGATTAATCTAATACCAAATTGTTGGGGGAAAAAAAATAAGAAATTAAGCCACAATATGAAGTAATTGATCACGAGAACAATGTAATTTTGCACTATCATGCTCAGGTACAAGTATAGGATACGTATTTAAGTGTCGAATATTTTATTTTCTAAAATATAGGATACGAGAATATGACTAAAAATAATCCAAATTTCGAATACGGCTACGAAAATACGTTTTTGAAACTTCAATTTTTTTTATTAACCTAATATGTCATTTTAAATAGAACAAAATCAATCGTTTATAAAGAAGGAAATGAGTATTGAATAAGAGGTTAAGATGAATAAAATAGTATTTTGGGGTTTGATTTTCAAATATGGGAAGTTAATTACCAAATGTTATATAAAATAGAAAATGAGAGACTTGATTATAGTTTGGATTTAGTTGAACACTAATTAACACTATATGGAACCCATTCTTATTTTATACAAAGAAAATCCTCATCCATCAATATGGAGAGAGAAATAAGGAGGAGGAGGAGGAGAAGAAGAAGAAGAAGAGGGGAAAGAATGAAGGAAAGACCTAGTGCCACCGCCTTCCGCCATGACATTAGATATACAGAGAACAAAAATGAGAGAAGAAAATGGAAAGAGAAAAAAGAAACAAGAAAAAAGAAGCAGAAACAACGAAGTGTCAGTTGAAATTTGGAGGATCCAACACATATTTCATATCGTACCCATGTTGTATCATGTTGACACAAGTATTTTGTCCTTTTCGAAGAGTCCAAGCATCAAAGATATTGAAGAAAATGAAGATTTTATTATAATATGGAGAAATAATACAAAAATTATGTGTTTATGATGTTTTTAACTTCTTAGTAAATCATAATGAAAAACCAATTATATATAGGAAATAAGTAGGGGATGATCAAATCCTAATAATAGAGTTGTCGTTGAAATAGAATGCCAAAAATGGAGTAAATGATGAAAAATTGCGCAAGACAAAAAACGAAACAAGCGCATCTCGGCGCCACCCAAGAGGCGCTAGGCCGAAATTATCATGGTGTCCACTTTTGGATCATTTACTCCAAAAATCTTGATTTTCTTCATCCCAATGTCATCTTTAAGTCAAACACAAATTCTTACTTCCAATGAGTTTTCAAGTAGAATTTCAACTAGAATTGTCAAGTAAACTTGAATAGGATTCAATAAAAACATTCCAAATAAAATTCTTCTTAATATGCATTTTAATTAAAATTCTCAATTATGTTCAACAAAGAATTCGGGCAACACACAAATTCAAACAACAAAGGAGGTTGTCTTTTAACTCTCCCACTTATTCTCAATATGCTTCTATTGAATAGTTGGGAACGGTGCAAAATTGTTTCACTAACAATGAACTGAAGGTCTATTGTGAGGACATTTTTAGGCTTAGGCTGGATAGTACAGTATTGAGATAGGCAAAATTTATGAGTTGTAACTTATACGATCCAGCGTATGAAAGGTGTCCAAAATGATGTTTTATTTAAAGTTTTCTAATTCTGTTCTTTGAGATTGTTCCTTGGAAAATAACCATATAAATTTCTATATTAGACAACAATTTTCCTTAATTGTTGGACAGAGAAAAATAAACAATTTCCAGCATTATCTATTAATCTTCCGCTGTACATTTGTCATATTGCCAACCCACATTTTGGAAATATCCTTCTTGGCATTGGATTCTCTCTGTGTGGATACTGCTCGAGGTAGGAGTAGGACTGTACGAACCCGTCATTCATCTGAGGCCGGGCCCAACATGGCCCACAAGTCCAACTCATGTCGACTAGTTCAATCATACTTAATGGTCAAATGTGCTCTCACATTACGCAATGTCATATAAGAATTTTTCGGAACAGGGTTCGAATTTGATTTAGAGAATGAAAATAAAATTTAATTAAATATAGAAAAGTAACTTTCATGTCAACTTTAACAAAATATTCAGATTTGATCCAATAATCAAATTATGAATATAAATAAACCAAAATATTCTATTCGACGAGTAGATTGTTGTGGTATATTTGAAATCTCAAAATTAATTGCGAATGAATGAGAAATTGCGGTCCAAAATTGGATAGAAAAAGGAAGTACATGTTGAAAAATGGCTAATTCCATAGCTCGCCTATCGCTGGAGCGAGCTCGAGCGATGAGACTGTTGCTCTAACAACAAGCAAGCGTGAGAAGCTCTGATGAAAATGTGTCACTATCACTCTAGCGAGAGACCACCAACAGCAAGGGATGTTTCCCTTCGTGAAGGCTGCTAAGTTTGGAATGTGACACCTCACTCACAACCCTTCCTCTTCTACGTATAGGATCATTTGGACGTCCATCATGCATTCCATATTATTTTGCATTGATTATTACATCAAAATTCTTACAAAATACTCTCCAAAAGTCATTCCAAAATCAATTTCTAGTAGAGAGAAAAATATCGTTCCAAGTTTGTTGTTGTTTGTGGTTTGAAGTGCTTCTACCACAAGTTGTATCTGTTGTATTTTGGGAGATAAGCATCGTAGTCTGTTAGCAAAGTTGCGAGGCAATATTGTCTTAAGGAGAAAGTGTTTTCACTTGTCTCGATTTTATTCTTCACTTTTTTTTTTTCTTCTTACTTTCTTTCTTTTCATTTTCTAGAGTTTAATTACGCTCATACTAATTAAATTTAAATATCTTCTTTGTCTAAACAAACATTTACATATACTAACGCTCCAATAAAACGAACAGAAAAAACAAAATCAAAGTGAAAGTGAAAAACTGGAAATAAAATTTACTCAAAGTAATAAGGTTTGGCTTCAAAACCGGTTGGTTTATGCTGAAAGTTTGACATATGATCCTTGATTTTTTTTACTCAAAAAATTACCTTGAATGATTGAGAGAGAGGAGGGTGGCATACCAATGCATATCTGACATGAATGGGGACTACTCAATATTTCTGTATTTAATTTTTGACTTTATAATTTTGCAGTGCATGGTATGGCTTAAAATCTACCTTCCATGCAGATGCTTTTCTGACATCCCAGCTGTAGACATAAAAAGCTCCACGTTTTCCATTCTTCTCACCTTTAGCTTCATTATCATAGAGTGAGTTACTCATAAGTAAATGCATATTTTGTTCTTAAAATAAGTTACTTTTTTAAGTATGGTAAATACAGGATTCTCAATTTTATGAAAACTTTGATGCTCGTTTTAGTTCAACGAGCTTTTAATTCGATGTGTATTCACACTTTGTTATCATTGATATATCTACTAAAACTCGAACATTTATCTTTGCCCTCTCCCCTTTTCAAACCGCATTTGGCGTTTTCTTAATGTCTGGATCATACAATGGCTGGATGTCCAACAATTCATTCTACTTTTCGTCCTAACTTATTCCGAGCTATAAAAAAGAACAAGTTAATCTTTAATATTTTATTATAGTTAAATGATCACTGTGCAATTATAAAAATCGTTTAAATTTTTGTTACGTAGTTAGATGACCACATTTGTTTCTTAGGGCCTGTTTGGTAGGTCTATAGAAAAGTCAAAAGTTGATTTCGAGATTAAGAAGATATTTTGAATATGTTTGAATAATTTTTGAAAGTATTTTATTTGATTAGAAGGAAGCGTAGGATAACTTTTTCATAAAGAAGTAGAAATTATGTCAAATGGACCCAAAATTTGGATAGGTGTCTAAAAATTTGAAGTGGACTGTATTAAAAATTTAATAAAAATATTGATGCCTCTAGTTATTAGACACTGATTATGAAATATAATAAAATCGATTTTTTTTTTTCAACAATTGAAGACCAGTTTAGTACGATAACAATACATGGAGAGCCCATGGTGCAAATTTCCCTATAAATACCTGTCTACTATGACCTTACTTGCCATCCCATTCCATCCAGTGAAGTGATGTTGAGAGATTTTAGGGACGCTATGCAGCTGTGTTCTTCATGCTCATGCTTGTCATGCTCACAGGTTCGTATCTTTTCTTTCCTTTTTAATCTTCGAAGCAACCCTTTCAAGGCACATTTGGCATACATGACTAGGTGTCAAACTGTACTGCCTATTAAGGGTCAAATAGTTTGGCGCTCCCAATCTAGACTTGACATGTACCATGAACCGTTCCACCCCTGCGGTTGGGTCGTGATCTTTAAGGGCTCATGGCCTGCCAGAACCACCACCCGCTGTCTCGAGCTGGCTGTGTAGGCATGTACAAAATTTGTAAACAATTGTAGAAAATTTTCGAAAGGAAAACTCTTTTTTCACGTACCCAATTTTTTTTAGGCCCAACATACTTGAATAGCATGATTTTGGCACGAGTCGGTCCTTACCATGCATAAAATAAGATTTTAACTTTTTTTCCCCAATATTTTAACTTTCCAACTTAGTGAACAAGTTTTTGAACATGAATGAAAGATCACATCAATTTTTTAGCAGTTTTTACAAAGAAAAACTTTAACAATGTTAATTCAGCTGTAATTATGACATTCAGAGAACCAACTAAACAATGTTTATGTTAGTGATTAACACTATTAATTTTAATTTCATTAACTACTGATTAACTTATTAAATCTTGTGATTCTTGAATATTTTTGTTAGGTCCACTAATGGTGGCAGAGGCAAGGACTTGTGAATCCCAAAGCCACCGGTTCAAGGGAACATGTGTGAGGAAAAGCAACTGCGCGGCGGTTTGCCAGACTGAGGGGTTTCCCGACGGCTACTGCAGGGGCCTCCGCCGCCGCTGCTTCTGCTCCAAACATTGTTAAAAATCACCGCCTCGACGGTGGCTTTCTGGCTGTCTGTGGTGGTGTCGGTCATCAATTTTCCTAGGAAAATTATGTCCTTTAATTAGTGGTACTCATTGTCTTTGATGTAATGTTAAGCAGTGTGTAATAATCCGTGAGATGTTTCTAATAACACGTTTAAGTGATTTTGTACTAAACAAAATTACTTTCACTTTATATGATCGAAAAAGTCTATTAACACTTTCATGTGCTAGATAATTCATAATATTAGACATAACTCGACAATATTTTAAACCATAAAATAATACAGATTGTACGAGAAAAAATGGAGGAGACAAATAGATCTCAAAAAAATTGGGTATTTCACACAAACAAGGAATACTTTTGACATCTTAAAAAGATCAAGAACTGAATTTTTTTTTGCTGCAATTGAAGAAAGAATTATTCTACTTGTACATCAATAATTATACATAAAGGTGTACATCCCACTCACATGAGGGTGGGGTCCACTTGTGTAAAATATTTTTTTTATTGAAGTGGGCTCCATCCCCATGTGAGGGGGGTGTACACCCCGATGTACATCTTGATGTACCGGTAGCAAAACCGTTGAAGAAACTGATAATTTTGGATCACAGAAAAGTTCTTCAAAAATGCTACAATTTTTAATTACATCTACGGCTTAGCCCAGTTTAACAAATTTATAAATCATTTATAAATTGATCAAACTTCATTTTCAATCATAACTTTCAATGAATCCCATTCATCTGCTACCCATTTCTATTTATTTATAAATTAAAATCATTTATAAATTTTCCTCACAATGGAGGACTCGATTTGGTATTTGTTCAAAACCTAGTTTAACATGATTTGAGAGACAACAATCATTAGTTCAAGTGTCACAATTATTTAGGGAAAATTACACTAAACCAGGTGTTTAGTTTGATGTTTAAAAAAATCAGGTTTATACTTTATTTAACCAAAAATCATGTTTTAATTTCACAATTAATATTAATAATAATATTTTAAATTAAATTAAATATATACCCACCCCTACCCCCAAATTTCAATCCAATTCCCAAACCCTACTTCTCCCCTCTCCTCCTCCCTACCGTCCTCCTCTTCCCCTCCCCTCTCCTCCCCTCCCCTTCTCATCTCTGTCATTTCTTCCCTCCCCCTCCCCCTCTGCTGCGAACCCAGCGAGCAGCGACGCTCGCTGGGCTCGCTGTTGCTACCCAGCTCGGCTCGCTCGCTGGGCTCCTTGCTGCTACCCAGCGAGCAGTCCAACAGCGCTCCTCGCTGCTAGGTCGCACAGCAGCGTCGCTGCTACGATTCACACCCTAAATTTTTTTACTTTTTCATTGTGTTGATTTTTGGAAAAAAAAAATGATGAAAATCTCTGTAGGTGAATGTTGCAGGTTAAGGATTTTTTAAAAATGGTGGATGTTGCAGGTGGAAATTACAGTGAAGTGGGTGTGGCTCGGTGGTA